GGTACACATATATATGCATACTCCCCCCCCCTCCCCCTTGTGTGTGTGTGTGTGTGTGTGTGTGTGTGTGTGTGTGTGTGTACACACACATAAAATCTTTTAACTCTACAGCAATACAGGTGATCATATTCAGAGCCAGGAAAGTGGGGGGTCAAGTTCAAGGGAATGACAGCCTTTTCCCTCAGAACACAGACATACCTGAGAGTTGCAGGAGGCTATGGAAAGTAAATGTAGACACTTGGGAGTTTCAAGGTCCTGAGTGTCTTCAAAGTCACTGAAATTTCTTCCTGACCTATCTTTTAACTCTACAGCAATACAGGTGATCATATTCAGAGCCAGGAAAGTGGGGGGTCAAGTTCAAGGGAATGACAGCCTTTTCCCTCAGAACACAGACATACCTGAGAGTTGCAGGAGGCTATGGAAAGTAAATGTAGACACTTGGGAGTTTCAAGGTCCTGAGTGTCTTCAAAGTCACTGAAATTTCTTCCTGACCTATTGTCTTCTTGATTCTCTTGTAGGTTCTGTGGGAAGAACATGTTGGTCCCCAGACTATGATGGTCTTCCAAGGCTTGGTTCATTCCCTCCAGGTCCACCTCTCTGGAGGCTGGGATAGACTGCATGGAATTGGAGCTAGTTCTTAAAAGGAAGGCACCCTGGTAAGGACAATTTCAGGGGCACTGAAGGGATTTTTGTAAGAAAGACGAGATGCCATCAGGTTCCTTCTGGAGAAATGTCAGATGAATTATTAAGGTGAGGAGGTCAGAGCTTACCAAAAGGAGACCCATCCCTGGGAATATTTCAAGCAACCTGGCCAGCACTGGTGAGAGAAAATTCTCAGACTCTGTGGAGGGTCAGCAGGGAGCTAGAACTGTGCCACATGGAGCAGCTCTTGGTGAGGGCAAGCGTGTATTTTAGGACTGGGATTCAGGCTCTGGCTGCAGCTCTGCACTGCTCAGAATCTATTTTTAAAGTGTGAAACTCAATATGTCACAAGGAGGGCAGGGAGGGGGGTGGTGGCTGCTGAGGCCAGCAGGCCCTGAAGGACACTCGCTTTCCTGGGAAGGTAAAGCCACATGCTTGGCTTTTGCTTTGCACCCCCAGATCTCTATTTTGAGCCCTGAAAACAAACACTTGGCTTTGTGCTCAGAGCTGATGGTGGAAGGCTTGGGCCAGAAGATAATGCGATCATTCACTCTGCCTCTCAATATGGTTCTTTCTTTGGTTTGATAGATAATGTGCCTGGAAGTTTAGAGAGAATTCATCATGGCACTAAGTTTAAAATTACAAATAAAAACAAAAGCAAGCCTGTTTGCAACTGTTTAAAAATCTTGGGGCTGACAGTATGGCTCAGCAGGTAAATGTACTTGCTGCTAAGCCTAATGACCTGAGTTCCATCCTCAGAATCCATGATGGAAGGGGAGAACCAACTTCTACAAGTTGTCTTTTGACCTCCACATGTGCATCATGACTTATGTATATGAGTGCACACACACACACACACACACACACACACACACACAATAAAAATCTTTGAAAACATCCACCTGTTTCTCTTCAGGCTGACTCTTACCCAGCATCCTCTGTATATGAGAGCCTGCCTGTCACCCTCCCCCAGCCCACCACCAGTTTCAAGACCAAGTGATAGACAGACACAAGACCAAGCGATAGATAGACACACATTGAGACTGTGTGTTTGGGTAGGATGAAGAGGTTTTTCATTGTTGAGATTTGTTTTTGCTTGAAACAGGGTCCACCATAAAGCCCTGGCTCACTGGAACTCAAGATATAAACCAGGCTGGCTTGGAACTCACAGAGATCCTCCTGCCTTTGCCTTTTTGAGTACTAGAGTTAAAGGCATATATCACCGTGCTCAGCCAAGAGTTATTTTTCTGTTTGTGCTTTGCAAGGGGAAATAGCTTGGATGACAGCATTAATAATGATAAAAGGAGCTGGTATCCCCAAAAGCACACCTTGTCCCCTTCCGATTTGGAAGTGACCTGAATACCTTCCAGGTCTCTTGCAAAGCATGCTGGCTTAAGTTTTCCACTTCATGGTGGTCATGAGAAGCCAGTGCCTGCCAATGAATGCTATGCACGCAGACACCAAATGTGGCTATGCTATTTTATTTTTTTATTTGACACAATGAAAAGAGAAAGCTTGAAATTGAGAGGGGGGAAAAATCTGTGGATGAAGGTATTTAGTCTACAAGGGCATTTGAAGCCAGGCTGCCTTGAAGCCAAAAAGCCACAGGTAAGCCACAGAAAACTTCTGATTCCAGGTGGATTTTGGTATGAGATGGGGGCACCTGGATGAGATTTACTGACAGACAATGGTTGGAAATGAGAAACTGAAACACCTAGCTCTACCCATGTATTCTCATTTCTCTAACGTTTTCCAATGATAATTTAAATATGGAAAGAGAATTTAGAAGTAAAGATTCCTTTAAAAAATTTTTTTGACATGTGCATGTAAACATGCCTCTATGTGTGTGTGTGTGTGTGTGTGTGTGTGTGTGTTTGTGTGTGTGTGTGTGTGTGTGTGTGTTGGGCATGAGTGGAGGCCAGAAGTCAATATTGGATGTCTTCTTTGGTCACTATCCACTTTATTAGTTTTTGAGGCAAGGTGTCTTGCTAAACCTGGAGCTTGCTAACTCAGCTAGACTGGCTGGCCAGCAAGTGTCTGGAATCTGTCTGTTGCTATACACCCTATCCAAGTGCTGGAATGACAGACTAAAACTACTGTGCCCAGCTTTTAAGTGGTGCTGGGGGTCTGAACTTAGGTCCTCACTCTTGCACAACAAGCAATTTACCCACTGAGCCATCTCTCCAACCCAGAAGTAAAGATTTCTTCTGGTAAATATTTTGGGGCTTCATCAAGACAAAGAGAAGCCTATGCTGAGCTCTCTTGCCTGCCCAGAGCATTACAAAGGACACCACTCTGGCGACACCAACTATGAAGGTAAGACCAACAATGACACTGAGTACAGGTGGGTGACCAGTGAAAGCCTGGTCATGGGCCTGATCTGGTGCCAGTATGTGGTAGCCAGAGCTGAGGGTCCAGGATGAACAGAAGAGGCCAGACATGGTGCAGGTCTGCAGAGCCCACTGTGCCTGGGAAGGCTGGAGGGAACAGACATCATCACGCCTTACCTCCTAGAATGCTACTATGATTTATATCTGAATATCCATCACTGGGCTCCACCTCCTAACAGTTCCACTACCTGCCAACAGCACCTCAGTCTTCAACACAAGGGCCTCTGGGAAACATTTAAGATTCAACGATGGCCAGGCATGGTGGCACACTTCTGTGATCCCAGCACTCAGGAAGATGAAGTAGAAGGGTGTAATTCCAAGACTAGCATGGATGACATAGTGAGTTCAAGACCAGCCTGAGATACTTGGCAGAACTCTGTCACAAAAAATAAAGCAAAAAGATCCAGACTATAGCAGTTACTTAAATGAACATTTATGGAATTATCTCTTGGCACATTTAAGTGCCTAATTGTATAGGGTATGGTGTGTCTCTAGGTTTTGGAGGCTGAGGACTTAGTTCATAGGCATTTTTTCTACCCATAGACCTTCTGTTTTAGAGAAGAAAAATATTCACAAATATAAAAATATAAACATAATAATGTGGTTGTTTAAATAAACTACTGAAATGGTGTCATCCAGGAGGGCGCTCTTGCCTCAACAGTATTTATAAGGAGCAGGAAAAATGTTGGTGCCGGTTATTGAAAAAAACTTAAATTTATCCATGTTCCCCCCAGAATGAGCTGAGAGTCCTCTATAAACTGATTTGGTTTGAAAAGAGCTTAGAATAGAGAAAGCCAAGGGGCTCCTGATACAGACAGGCTCTGCCCCAGGGGCTCCAGTTTCAGGGAACAAAATCCCACTTAACTTTGCTCCTGACAAGAAGGTGGGGGTTCATCTAAAGGTGCCGCCTGTCTGCAGCCATCATGCAGGAAGACAGCAATCAGTTATCTTAGTTTCTCACAGGTCTGTGAACACTCCTGGGACAGACAGAAAGCTGGCCCCAGTGCTTCACGGTGGATGGGAGGGTGGGGTCCCTATTCCATAGGGAATGCTACCTTCCCGCGCAGGAGATGGTGGGGACTGTGGTGAGTCCCATGATTCTTGAGCAGATTATTGGCAAGTAACCCAACCTTCCTGAGCCTTAGTTTCTTCCCCCATCCCCTTACTCATTAAACACTAATAAAGATAACAGCAAGCTCAGAGAAAGTACATGATCACTGGTAGGCATCGTCAATGCCAGTCCCTTTCTGTTCAAACTCATTATAAAGGCGTAGCTTCTATATCCCAGTCAGATGACTCTATGGACAGCATACATATGCTCCAAGTAGCATCATTATTTTTGCAAAAATAAAATACTGTATTCCTCGAAGGAGGGTGGTGCTTGTCAAACCCTGGATCCCCAGCTCTTAGGTCCTTGCCTTATAAGAATTGGGACTAGCTTTGACCTGAGATAGAATTTCTCTCATTCTAGGAGCAGAGTGTTGGGGCAGGGGTGGGGGAGGAAGGAGTGGCCCAAGCACAGAGTGGCTGAAGCTGCCTTGTGAGACCTGGCACAGCAGGCTGTGGGAAAGTAGGTAGACACTGGTGTCCCCTACCTCTAGGAACATGAAACCTGTGAAGCCCTCTTAGGTTCCTTTCCATAGGGGATGCTGGGAGGTACCTGACCTGGCTGTCCAGACCACCCAGCAGTGAGCACAGAGGGCACCCAGAATAGATGCCTAGCAGTGCTAGCATGGGGAGGGTAGGCAACAGCAGCATATAGATTCTTTATTCAACAGTGACACCATGAGGCCCCGAGAACCAAAATAGACCAAGAATCAACTACAAGCTGTGGTTGAGTGCTGTCTAGTTGCCTCTTGGTTGGCCAGTATGCCCTTGAACTAGGTAAGCATCCTGGGGGAGTTTTAGTTATCACCCAGGGGGAAACCCAGGAAGGAAAGAAATCTTTCTAAGTTAAACTGTTTGGAGACTTATTAAAGTAAAGAAATTTGAGAAATTAGGAGAATACAACTTCAATACAACTCCAAGCAAGGAAATGATTCCATGTGTTACTTGGGGAGCTGGTTACCCCAGTATAGACATACATTATGTGGAGCACCAAGGTCACATCCTGATGTGGGAGGAGCATTGGCCCTTCCCTTGTGACAGGGGCTAGGCCAATTGTCTGTTCTCCAGAAGAAACTGTTCTTTATCCTCCTGCTGTCCCTGTCAGCCAGAGGCCTGGCTTGACTCTCTTCAGTTGTAGGTATCAAGAGACAAACTAAAGGAGTTTAAGCATAAGAAGCAAGTTCTACCATCACGTAGCCCGGAAAGCTACAGGTTGACTCTCAGAATAAAGTGAAAAGAAGATCCAGGGAACTGAGGAAGACCAGAACCTGGGATGAGAAGCAGCAGGACTCTTTCCTGCTCCCATCTGCAACCCCAGCATCAGAGAGACATTTGTTAACAAGCTCTGATCAGCTAGCTTGAGCAAGGTGTCTGCCCCTGGGCCAATCCCCAGTGCCAGGGAGATGACATACTGAGATAGGTTAGTCCTGGTCACACCCTCACCACCCTAGGCCATTGGGCAGGAGTTGTCAAAAGAGGAG